TTCATTGTAGATCAAATATTCTGAAAATTACATGCATCGTAAATCTAGCTAACTTTGACACATTACTAAATCACCATTCACTGTGTTTTGCGTAATTTATAGTATATCTTCAAATGTCAAATTTACTGGGAGAATTGAATTTAAAAGAAAAAAACGTATCATTGTGATCAGCGGTAGTTTTGTTGTTGTTTGATCGAATCACCGAATGCTCGTTCTGAAACATCGTCGATGAACTGAGAATCGCTGAGAATGTTTTGGAAAAATACGCAAACACAATTAACGTCAAAGTGAATTTTCAGCCATATTGCAGAGTGTTTATAAAATCACGTCACACGTATGTCGGTTATTGTTTCGCCCATAAAATCAATTGTATAATTCAACACCATCTTCCTTACATGAATCCCTGAATTCCTCAGACAGTTAAAAACAAGCATTGTCACTAAGGTGACATAATCCGCCGCTGCAAATTATCAAATCAAACTTATAAAGTAATGAAGTTTAAGTTAAATGTCAACAAAAACATGACCAGTCATCCTCTCTTGATGTTTTGCTCTTTAGGTGTTCAAACACACACATATTTTCAAGACTGACTTTGACATGAATGTCATAGTGTATGAAATATGCAAAAATAGTACTAAAGAAATTGCTTTTTGAAAAACATTTAAGGGAAGTCTTGAAAGTCTTTGAAGAAGACCCAGTGAACTGTTTTTGAAATATCTTGCTGACAATTCAGGTTAACATGCTCAAATCTTCAAAGTGTCTCTGTGACCTTGAACATTAAGTGAAGGTCACCAAAATCGACTGGCCCTGCGCCTTCCATAGATAAAGCTTGGTTTCAAATATGAAGAAAATCCAGTGAACGGTTCTTGAGATAGCTTTACATGCAGGTTTACATGCTGAAATCATCAAAGTGTCGCCATGACCTTGAAAATTATGTGAAGGTCACCAAAATCGACTGGGCCTTGCGCCTTCCCTAGATAAAGCTTTGTATTGAATATGAAGAAAATCCAGAAAACGGTTCTTGAGATAGCTTTACATGCAGGTAAAACGTTAAATTCCCCCTGTGACCTGAAATTAAGGTCAAGGTCACCAAACCTGACTTAGACCTTTCTTATACTGTGATGAACCTAGGTACCAATTATGAAAAGAATCTAGTGAACGGTTCTTAAGATATTCCAATTCGTACGGACGGACGGACGGACGGAGCCTAATACTATATCCCCCGCTTCGCGCTAAACGCGCGGCGGGGGATAATAAACTGACAAATGTACTCTGTCACCAATACGGAGTGTTTTAGTGAAATCTAACGAAATTTATAATATGCCGCGCTGGGAAAGGACCACTTGTTTGAAATGTAAACAAAGCCAATCTCAGATTTTACACTGTATATCCGTTCGCCTCCTTGTTGCATACACTTGCTCATTAGTTTTAGAACATGCATGAGAAAGGTATCGTAGCAAGCGAATATGTGTATTCCCATGATTTCCTCGATTCATTACAATATATTATAGTTTCTGAAAGCGTGACGCCATGACTGACGCAAACTCACGCACACCGACGATGGTACTTCTCTTAATTTCTGACTATGTCCCTTGGTCACAATGAAAGCAAAAAGAAAATAACAGCCAGCAGATTGCCAGAATGTTTCGGACTACTTACATGTCACATTTATGCGTACAATTTGTTTGAAACAACGAAAGTCGGTAACTATATGGCCTGTTTAGCTCGGCAAACAAAGATTTCATTATGGCATAACATTACAGCACTTTTTTGAGGGTTATACTTTCATTGTAAGAAAACTAAGTGTATATTTTCAAACATTGATATTAACTAATTAAAACATTCACTTTGATTCACATAAGAATAAATGTGATTTATTCGTGTACACTTCCCCTTTAAAGGTTAAACTAGAGTCCGAGAATGATTATAGCATCAGGTATCTGTAACCATGGACTTGCTACCAAGACATGTGAGAGGTGTCTCCTTGATGTACAGATAGCCTGTGCCTGGCGAGGCCGACGTTGGGCCATTATCAAGCTGCTTCATATGCATTTGTATAACTATTGTTTGTGCTACACTTGACTCTTTGCTCAGATGAAGTATCACTTGTTGATGACATGATGATATAACATACACAGCCACTTGATTTCACTCACGGGTGTCCTATTTAAAGAGTAAGGCCTGATCGATTCCTTCTTAGATTGTCATGGATGGATGAATTAGTAGCTACAAAACATTATCTATTCCTGCAGAGATGAAACACAGCAACAATACAAAGCCAAGTTGATGAATGTAGACACAACATGCTGGTTACCTGTCACAAAAAGTACACACCTATGTCTGATGTCGGCTACGTATGAAACAAGCAAGACATGCTTATTCGGTGCTGATCTATATGGACGTAAAGTTTGCAATTTTTAGGCAATTTTTTTCATCCAAGTAACATTTTGATAACGTTGGTAATTTTTGCGTCAAAGCCAAACTACAAGCAGTGTATGAGGCCCGTCCGACCGACCCGTGACGGTCTAGATTTCTGACGGACGGTCTAAATTTACAGCTAGCCAGACCGATGGTTTGGTAAAAATTTAAATGTTCCATACATTTGAGTAAATTCACCATATTTGGTGTGGTTAAATCCATTTTGGGCTGGTAACATTTTGAAGTTACCAGCCCTGGTGTCTGGCTGGAGTTTTGGCTTATTTCATACACTGTTTCAAGTGAAGTTTAGTAGTGATACAGATTTCAGTAGTACATAAGATGGTCGTGGTTACTGACATGCATCTAAATAGATTCTGTTATCAAACGAGGACTAGGTGGGTTTCAAATTCTTTAAACTCGAATACATTTGGAAAAATTGAACTTACACATATGTTCATAGATTCATAACGTGGGAATGGATTAGATTATTGAGAAAACGCTCGTTTTAAAAAATGGTGTACTTCACGTCATGATGCTCTATAAAATAGTTTACCTGTCTAAGTGTTACGCTCAAAATATGTAGAAACGGAAATCTACCGTTTCCTTGGTGATCACAATCCCACCGTCAAGATGTGGCAAGGCAACAAGAGTTACGTCCCTTTACATTTGTACCATCTTTCATTATCCCTTTCTAATACTGACATACACTACCACCGGGTGCAATAATAATAAATATCGTAGATAACATCACATCTGTAATGCAGAGGATCTAACGTTCATTTGTTAGATTATATACATTGCGAGATACTTTATGACTGATTTTGGAATGACATGAGGATGTAAAACTTGTCTAAATGAGGATTCAACGATGAACATACAGGCATATAATATTAGTATTCATCTTCTATCTTACCCTGAAGGAGCGGGTTTGAATATTGATCTTCAGTAACTCATGCTTGTCGTAAGAGGCGACTAACGGGATCGGGTGGTCAGGCTCGCTGACTTGGTTGACACATGTCATCGGTTCCCAATTGCGCAGATCGATGCTCATGCTGTTGATCACTGGATTGTCTGGTCCAAAATCGATTATATAAAGACCGCCGCCATATAGCTGAAATATTGCTGAGTGCGGCGTAAAACTAAACTCACTCACTCATCTTCTATCCCATGGCAATTACAATATTTCCACAGTAGGATTTCCCTTGATATCCCGAAATGTCTAATTTTGTATCAGTAGACCACGAGAACTGCATCTGAAACGGGATAGTGCTGTTCGTAATGTCTTAACATTTATGTCTAAAGGATATTTCACTAAGCCGGAATGATTTATCTTATGTGGCAGTGTTGTATATATGTCTGTATTTTACATATTTGTATATATTTATGTAATGACATAGTGTATTAACTGTTACTGTGATGTACATTTTAAACTAAAGTTGGATAGCTTATCTACTTAGCTCCAGATTGACTTTTGTTTAATTCAACTTTAATATTATTTACAGCCTTTGGGTAGCTTGGGTCACTCCTTTGTTTACGTCTGATTGGCCTCGTGTAGAATACTAGCACTTTCCCAGCACAGCACACACGCCACTGTAGACTCAGTAAACCAGAAGTTCTTACGGGTAATATGTAGTTTTTAACCGCTACAATCTCCCTGAAGGGTAAAGAACGAAATATGTTGGAGAAAAAGGCATTCTGTTTTTATTTATCCATGGTTTGGGTATGATGGTACATCAGGACAGCCAGGCCATGGTTTGGGTATGATGGTACATCAGGACAGCCAGGTCATAGTTTGGGTATGATGCTACTCCAGGACAGCCAAGTCATGGTTTGGGTATGATGGTACATCAGGACAGCCAGGTCATAGTTTGGGTATGATGCTACTCCAGTACAGCCAGGCCATGGTTTGGGTATGATGGTACTCCAGGACAACCAGGCCATGGTTTGGGTATGATGCTACCCCAGGAGAGCCAGGCCATGGTTTGGATTTGATGCTACTCCAGGACAGCCAGGCCATGGTTTGGGTATGATACTACTCCAGGACAGCCAGGCCATGGTTTGGGTATGATGGTACTCCAGGACAGCCAGGCCATGGTTTGGGTATGATGCTACTCCAGGACAGCCAGGCCATAGTTTGGGTATGATACTACATCAGGACAGTGATGGTATCTTTAAATCATGTGAATCTTAGTTTGTTCAGCCTACAGTTGTAGCCGCTGCTCCTGGTTGTTGGTGTCAAAGATCTATCGTAAATGCACAGCATCATCAAAGTAAAATCTAATATTACAAAACTAGATTCTGTTAACTGACTCCAAATGTTCCTGACTCCAGCTGTTCACAGATAGCTTCCAATGTAAATGGGGGCAGTGGGGCAGCCTATTGGTTAAAGCATTTGCTCATCACGCTGACGATGTGGGTTCGATTCCCCACATGGGTACAATGTGTGAAGCTCATTTCTGGTGTCCCCCACCGTGATATTGCTGGAATATTGCAAAAAGCGTTGTAAAACTAAACTCACTCACTCACTTTAAAGTCCATGTCAATGCTCAAAGACAAAGATCAGAAAACAAACAAGAATGATGTTATGTACAAAATCTCATTTATTTCATTATCAAATTGCACATGATTAGATGACGAGGGATAGTTCATGTCATCACTTATCGCTGTCAGAGCACACATTCAAAATATCTACAATAAAACAAGCTATCAGAGAAATACAATGAACAATATATTAATTTTCAATGATACATTACTGTACATAAAGGTACTGATGACAGAATTTCATACAAAAATATTCCGGATTTACCTAATAATCTTCTCTGTGACCTTGGCGAAATCCAATGACCTTCTCACTACAATATGTTACCTGTGATTTGATCAGCCATTAAGGAAACATGTTTAGATATGTCTGGTGTGTTCCTGAATGGCTGTGATATGTTGGTTTAGTGTTTTTCAGCTATGCTATCTGTTGTGGTATGTGTTGATGGTGTCATATATTTGTGTATCCATCATGACAGTTTTTTTTTATATATTAGATCCTGTGTGTGATACCCAGTGGAATCTGTCATGTGCTATTTTGGTAAGGAAAAAGGTTTTTTGTGATCTGTTAAGTAGATAATATCTATTGAATGTTATCTGTTGATGTGATTGAAGAATATTTCTTCTATTTGATTGGCATTTATAAAAAAAGTATATTGTACTAGTTGTCATTCATAAAGAACCCTACCTTTCTTATCAATATGTCTTTGCAACAAATGTGATCTTAAGTACAAAAGCTCTTTGAGATGTTTTTCCAGTTTGTATGTTTGTGTGAGTTTATTCTGCAAATTTGATTTTCGATATGTCATAAGTGAAAGTATCAGCTTTTCTTGTCTAGATGCAAAACAAACAGCATGCAGACACAACAAACAATTTGAAACATTGTTTTGTCTGATCTATCTCATGTTCATCTAAAGTTCGTATGACTGCTATTTCTTGTATATCCAGATGATCCCCATGGGCTATGGATACAAAAGTGATGGCATGTGTGAGTACCCTGATAGTGTGGGTTGTCCTGCTGCAGCAGTTCAGTCCAAGCCTGGGACAGGGTGTGTCTATGTATGGGCCTACACCCTGAATGATCTCTGATGGTATAGTGTCCTGCAGAGATGTATGGAGTGGTCCCAGGGTGTGGGCTGCAGAAACCTCTGTCTTCAACATACATGTTTGATATTTCAAGGGTATGACATCAGCATATGACATGTTTGATATGTCAAGGGCTGTCACTAGTCAATGGTATACAAAGAAGCCTTGACCAGTTACCAAGTGTCTACCTAGGGTATTGGGTAACATGACAACTGTATGGAAGGAAGGAAGGAAGGATAAACAAGACTGTACACAGAAGTCCACCAGACACACACAGCCTTGCATACATTTAGAGGGGAGCAAATAAACATATTCACCAATCAGTGATAGTCAGTAACATAGGATACATGACACACAAACCTAGAAATGGCAGAGAGAAAGCAGGATATAAATATAGCAGGTCCAGGAGACTGCAGACAGTGCCAACCCTTGATCTCCAGGTCAGAACAAAACCCTTGTGGGGAGAAAATACTGAGGGAAACACAAAGTAACACAAATATACAAAGCAATGTATATTGATGGCCAGTGAATGAATCAAACAACTCCTTAATATATCAGAAAATCAATAACAACAAAATATGAAGATAGCTTGTTGAATGTCACAAAGCAATGATGATCAGCATGAAATAAAACAAAGGTGTAACAGAGCTACAAACAGTGGGCTATACTTGCACGGCCAGACACACGCAGGTATTGAAAAGGGAAACAATCACCTCATAGACCCTCCCCTAAAGTCTACACATTTACATATTTACACAGATAATAAATATTAATTCACAATGTTTCACATCATTATCAGCCCCTACCAGAGTGAAGACAGAGACACACATAACTGGGTGAGGTGTGCAAGGACTAGCACAGGAACGTTCCTGTTGTAAGACAGGTGTACATGGACTAGGCACAGGAACGTTACTGTTGTAAGACTGATCTGCATGTACTAGGCACAGGAACGTTCCTGCAATGAGACAGATGTACATGGACGTTCCTGTTGTAAGACAGATGTACATGGACTAGGCACAGGAACATTCCTGTATTGAGACAGATGTACATGGACGTTCCTGTTGTAAGACAGATGTACATGGACTAGGCACGGGAACGTTCCTACAGTGAGACAAATGTATTTTAGCTACGTATATTTTGATATGTGATACTGTAGTTGTGAAGATTACAATACATTCTGTTAACAAGGAGAATACAATAATATGCAAATGTTCATGTAGAAATTGAAAGTGTGATGTCAGTGTCAGAGCCTCAAGTGACATCCTTGGCACATCTTCATGCAGAATATAGTGTGACAGTCAATGGTATTTGGACTCTCATCTCACAGTTTCTTCACTTCCACATTAGACATCTTACTTGGTCATCTGCTTTCCTAACAATAATGCTATACATTTTAAGCAGAAGAAGGTGTGACACTTCTAATGGCATATACTTCTAGATTCCTCACACAAACAATAGGTTCCTATTCCTGGAACATGTCAAGTGCTTTGAATGGACATATCACACTTTACCATACAGACTCCATGAACATCTTTGCCTGATGTCCTCTGACTCCTTGAACATCTATGCCTGATGTCCTCCGACTCTTTGAACATTTATACCTGATGTCCTCCGACTCCATGAACATTTGTACCTGATGTCCTCAGACTCCATGAACATCTGTACCTGATGTCCTCAGACTCCATGAACATCTGTACCTGATGTCCTCAGACTCCATGAAAATCTGTACCTTATGTCCTCAGACTCCATGAACATCTGTACCTTATGTCCTCCTCGGACTCCATGAACATCTATACCTGATGTCCTCAGACTCCTTGAACATCTGTACCTGATGTCCTCAGATTCCTTGAACATCTATACCTGATGTCCTCCGACTCCTTGAACATCTATACCTGATGTCCTCCGACTCCATGAACATCTATACCTGATGTCCTAAGACCCCTTGAACATCTGTACCTGATGTCCTCAGACTCCTTTAACATCTGTACCTGATGTCCTCCTCTGAATCCATGAAGAAGATCTATACCTGATGTCCTCTGACTCCATGAACATCTGTACCTGATGTCCTCAGACTCCTTGAACATCTGTACCTGATGTCCTCCACAGACTCCATTTTCCTGTGTGAGTTCTTGGCTTCAGAAGGTATACATAGTACACAGTGGCCAACATGATAGATTACATTAAACTGTTATGTTAACATAGCCAGTGCCCAAGGTCTCTAACAGTGTGGCCAATATCCCCCATGTACCTCACATATTTACATCAGGTTTCAGTTACAGAAACACTTCATTTTCCACATAACTTATACTTGCAACACAACCATCTTTACAGGCTCAACTGCCATAGCAGAAGCACTGCTATCACACACACATTGTGCTCAGCTCTATTCACTGTGCTTAACATTTACTGACTATTGTGGACATTGTTTAGAAGAAGTTCAGTCACTTTATTTCTTCCACCTTCAGCCCGTACAACACCTTCTCCCCCTGGTTCCTCCATTCCACACTCAAGGGAAACAATATCAAATGCAACTTCAACAGCACCAGAACGATTCTATTCAGTTATCCACACAGAGTAGGTGCACACATACTGTCTTCCTTTGTGTGAACATCCTTCCCACCAACTTTGGTACAGCAGCTGTGCATGAGCTCTCCTCCAGCATCTAGAGCTCACATTCTTGTACACATAGCTTGGCAAGGCTAATAAGGCTCATTGTCTTTTGCATTGATCTTGGATTAACTTTTGCATCACTTGTCCCAGAATGATGAAGGCAAGCTGAATATACATGACTAGTGCATTAGGAGTGGTGATGCAGATGCTGTGCTACAGGGCTGCTACAGCAGGCAGAGGACAGATAAATGGTGATCACTTAATACACTCTCATAGTTGTGCAATAGACTTATGGAAAGCCTCCAGTTTATCCAGCATCCAGTCCTGGACAGATGCCTGTACATGTTAAAAATGCTGCTGATAAAATGGAATGGAATTAGATTCCATATTGATGCATGATCCATACAAAGTTGTATAAAATGTTGCCACAAAGTATGGTATGACAGTTTGTGTTACCATGGTATTTGTGTATCGAGTGAACATGTTCCTCCCATTGATGGTAGAGTCCTTGTGCACACATCTACACATTTGTTGCCAGTTTCGTCGTACTTAAACAGGCAGGAGGTAGCCTTGAGTCTGCATAATCACCACGGAAACTACTTAATGGATACTGTCCACTATATGCTGGTCCATACCTGGAAAGAGAACAAAACAAATTTGTTAAAACATTTCTTGTGAGTAATCTGGCACCAGTTGAATATTCTGCTGATGAAACAGTTTGGCACTTCACTGAAACCTCACTTCAGCATCACATTCTAAAATATTCACAAGTCTTCATGGAATATTAGGAACCAATGTGGCTGCAGTGTCAGGGAGCCTTCAGCCATGTTCCAACTCCACAAGTATGTTGTCTCTGCAGCAGTGACATGTAGTGAAAGGGACGTAACTCTTGTTAATAAGATATAAGACCAACAGGAAGAAGCAGGATAAAATATTTTCAACATCATTAAGTTGGCAAAGCAATCTTATTCTTCAGCCATGTGTTAATGAGGCTTCACTTATTTGTTAATGAGACCTCAGCCATGTGTTCAGAAGAGGTTGAAGGTAACTGTTGTGCAAATCTAATGAATGATGTTAAAAATGTTTAATGTTGCTTCTTCCTGTTGGTTTTCATCTTCTTAACAAGAGTTACATCCCTTTCACCATCGGTCATCACCAACAACCTTTGAGCATCAACAGACAGTATACAAAGTTTCAATGTGGTGCCTTGCAAGTGGTGCTCACCTGTCGGACCCTACGTCATCTGACTGACTTGTATATTCTCCACCAAATATCTGACTGGTGTCCCGATACACGTTTTCATTGGAGAAAGGGTCTATGACTCGATATTGATTGTTGTTTCCCTTCGGATCCTGCAACACAGAATAGAACTGAAGTCCTGTCATCACAGAAGCCTTCACCATCTGTACCAACATATACAAGTGAGTCCGGTAATTCCGTGTGTCCGGTAATTCTGCGCAGCTGCAATAGCGTACTTCGGTATCGAAGGTAAACATCGTCTGCTACCACATTTACGCTTGAAATTGGGACATTTCTACAAGGGACTGGCTTTAAATCACTAAAGGTAAGTAAATAACAGTAACTGACAGATAAATTTACAGTTTTATGAAAATTTGTTATCTTCAGACTTTTAAACCTTTTTCTTCATTATTCATAATTGGATTTACTATGAAACACTCTTCCTTACATTGATGAAGTGATTTTTGAAAATAATCTGGCCCTAATACGCTTCCATACTTCGGATCTCCAGCTGGATGTTATGTGCATCAGTTGCTGCGCAGAATTACCGGACAGCAAGCGATGTCGTCAGAGCGCCGGTAAGGTCAACCGTATGGCATAATGCAACGTTAGAATCTCATAGTCGTCAATAAAACTTATATTTCTAGGTAAATATGATGCATACCAGCATGTTTACTCACGTAAACCACCCAAAAATAAGAGACGTTAGTTGCCTTGTTGCGATCGATGTGCTTACGTGAGCGGAATTACCGAACAGCATTGTACTTCAAATGTTGTTTCAGGCTTGACATATCTAGTCAACATGTCGTGACACAAAGTCTCCTCATGTAACATACAGTCTTTGTTCACTTAGTGACCTAGTTCTTAAAAAGGATGTGTATGTATGCTGAACTGACATATACACATGTACTTGAGCCATACCAGCTCTACACACATATACACATGTACTTGAGCCATACAAGCTCTACACACATATACACATGTACTTGAACCATACAAGCTCTACACACATATACACATGTACTTGAGCCATGCAAGCCCTACACACATATACACATGTACTTGAGCCATACAAGCTCTACACACATATACACATGTACTTGAGCCATACAAGCTCTACACACATATACACATGTACTTGAACCATACAAGCTCTACACACATATACACATGTACTTGAACCATACAAGCTCTACACACATATACACATGCACTTGAACCATACAAGCTCTACACACACATACACATGTACTTGAACCATACAAGCTCTACACACATATACACATGCACTTGAACCATACCAGCTCTACACACATATACACATGTACTTGAGCCATGCAAGCTCTACACACATATACACATGTACTTGAGCCATGCAAGCTCTACACACATATACACATGTACTTGAGCCATGCAAGCTCTACACACATGTACACATGTACTTGAACCATACAAGCTCTACACACATATACACATGTACTTGAACCATACAAGCTCTACACACATGTACACATGTACTTGAACCATACAAGCTCTACACACATATACACATGTACTTGAGCCATACAAGCTCTACACACATGTACACATGTACTTGAGCCATGCAAGCTCTACACACATGTACACATGTACTTGAGCCATGCAAGCCCTACACACATATACACATGCACTTGAACCATACAAGCTCTACACACATATACACATGTACTTGAGCCATGCAAGCTCTACACACATATACACATGTACTTAAGCCATACAAGCCCTACACACATATACACATGTACTTGAGCCATACAAGCTCTACACACATGTACACATGTACTTGAACCATACAAGCTCTACACACATGTACACATGTACTTGAACCATACAAGCTCTACACACATGTACACATGTACTTGAACCATACAAGCCCTACACACATGTACACATGTGCTTGAGCCATACAAAGCACACATACACATGTGTACTTGAGCCATACAAGCCCTACACACATGTACACATGTACTTGAGCCATACAAGCCCTACACACATGTACACATGTACTTGAGCCATACAAGCTCTACACACATGTACTTGAGCCATACAAGCCCTACACACATGTACTTGAGCCATACAAGCCCTACACACATATACACATGTACTTGAGCCATGCAAGCTCTACACACATGTACTTGAGCCATACAAGCCCTACACACATGTACTTGAACCATACAAGCTCTACACACATGTACACATGTACTTGAGCCATGCAAGCCCTACACACATATACACATGTACTTGAGCCATGCAAGCCCTACACACATATACACATGTACTTGAGCCATGCAAGCTCTACACACATATACACATGTACTTGAGCCATACAAGCTCTACACACATGTACACATGTACTTGAACCATACAAGCCCTACACACATGTACACATGTACTTGAACCATACAAGCCCTACACACATGTACTTGAACCATACAAGCTCTACACACATGTACACATGTACTTGAACCATACAAGCTCTACACACATATACACATGTACTTGAGCCATGCAAGCTCTACACACATGTACACATGTACTTGAACCATACAAGCCCTACACACATATACACATGTACTTGAACCATACAAGCCCTACACACATGTACTTGAACCATACAAGCCCTACACACATATACACATGTACTTGAGCCATGCAAGCCCTACACACATGTACACATGTACTTGAGCCATGCAAGCCCTACACACATGTACCATAATCAAGTGATTAAGCATCAGGAAGTCAATGCAGATAGGAAATTGATAGAGTCCAGGTACCAGAAGAAGCTTGTGTTACTGAGGTTTGTATGGTGAGTGCAAGGGGTCTCGAGACAACAGGGGATAGTTATACCGACTGTACCAACCATGCATCTGGACATGCTGATATCAGGTGGATAGGCAATAAAAGGTCATTCTACTTTAAATATGAATGATTTTGCAGTCATGTACCAATATTTCTTAAACTTAATGTTAGTACACACTAAGAGACAATTTTGGATGCTTAATACATGGATTATGGTAAACACCAAGCAAGTAAGCACCTTTCCTGCGTAAAGCACCTCATCATAGTCAGCTGAGTATCTGTTAAGATCCTTGTTGTAGTCCTGCCTCCACTGGTCCATCAGAGTGGACGGCGAGTCCGACTTCTCACGCTTCTTGTCGGTGCTGCTGTCCGTGTCTGTGTAGGAACCTGAAACAAGTACACAGTTGTACAATGCAGCTGTGTGTGTGCTGTCCGTGTCTGTGTAGGAACCAGAAACAAGTACACAGTTGTACAATGCAGCTGTGTGTGTGCTGGCCGTGTCTGTGTAGGAACCAGAAACAAGTACACAGTTGTACAATGCAGCTGTGTGTGTGCTGTAGGGAACCAGAAACTGCAGCTGTGTGTGCTGGTCCTGTGTGTAGGAACCAGAAACAAGTACACGGTTGTACAATGCAGCAAGTACACAGTTATTGTGTGCTGGCCGTGTCTGTGTAGGAACCAGAAACAAGTACACAGTTGTACAATGCAGCTGTGTGTGTGCTGTCCGTGTCTGTGTAGGAACCAGAAACAAGTACACAGTTGTACAATGCAGCTGTGTGTGTGCTGTCCGTGTCTGTGTAGGAACCAGAAACAAGTACACAGTTGTACAATGCAGCTGTGTGTGTGCTGTCCGTGTCTGTGTAGGAACCAGAAACAAGTACACAGTTGTGCCAATGGGACAATGCAGCTGTTATTGTACCAATGCTGTCGTGTGTCTGTGTAGGAACCAGAAACAAGTACACAGTTGTACAATGCAGCTGTGTGTGTGCTGGCTGTGTCTGTGTAGGAACCAGAAACAAGTACACAGTTGTACAATGCAGCTGTGTGTGTGCTGTCCGTGTCTGTGTAGGAACCTGAAACAAGTACACAGTTGTACAATGCAGCTGTGTGTGTGCTGTCCGTGTCTGTGTAGGAACCAGAAACAAGTACACAGTTGTACAATGCAGCTGTGTGTGTGCTGTCCGTGTCTGTGTAGGAACCAGAAACAAGTACACAGTTGTACAATGCAGCTGTGTGTGTGTGCTGGCCGTGTCTGTGTAGGAACCAGAAACAAGTACACAGTTGTACAATGCAGCTGTGTGTGTGCTGGCCGTGTCTGTGTAGGAACCAGAAACAAGTACACAGTTGTACAATGCAGCTGTGTGTGTGCTGGCCGTGTCTGTGTAGGAACCAGAAACAAGTACACAGTTGTACAATGCAGCTGTGTGTGTGCTGGCTGTGTCTGTGTGGGAACCAGAAACAAGTACACAGTTGTACAATGCAGCTGTGTGTGTGCTGTCCGCTGTCTGTGTAGGAATTGCTGTCTGCTGAACCAGAAACAAGTACACAGTTGTACAATGCAGCTGTGTGTGGCTTGCTGTCCGTGTCTGTGTAGGAACCAGAAACAAGTACACAGTTGTACAATGCAGCTGTGTGCTGTGTGCTGTACCAGTTGTCTGTGTGTAGGAACCAGAAACAAGTACACAGTTGTACAATGCAGCTGTGTGTGTGCTGGCGTGTCTGTGTAGGAACCAGAAACAAGTACACAGTTGTACAATGCAGCTGTGTGTGTGCTGTCCGTGTCTGTGTAGGAACCAGAAACAAGTACACAGTTGTACAATGCAGCTGTGTGTGTGCTGTCCGTGTCTGTGTAGGAACCAGAAACAAGTACACAGTTGTACAATGCAGCTGTGTGTGTGCTGGCCGTGTCTGTGTAGGAACCAGAAACAAGTACACAGTTGTACAATGCAGCTGTGTGTGTGCTGGCTGTGTCTGTGTAGGAACCAGAAACAAGTACACAGTTGTACAATGCAGCTGTGTGTGTGCTGTCCGTGTCTGTGTGGGACCAGAAACAAGTACACAGTTGTACAATGCAGCTGTGTGTGTGTGCTGGCCGTGTCTGTGTAGGAAGCCAGAAACAAGTACACAGTTGTACAATGCAGCTGTGTGTGTGCTGTCCGTGTCTGTGTAGGAACCAGAAACAAGTACACAGTTGTACAATGCAGCTGTGTGTGTGCTGTCCGTGTCTGTGTGGGAACCAGAAACAAGTACACAGTTGTACAATGCAGCTGTGTGCTGTGTGTGTGCTGTCGTGTCTGTGTAGGAACCAGAAACAAGTACACAGTTGTACAATGCAGCTGTGTGTGTGCTGGCCGTGTCTGTGTAGGAACCAGAAACAAGTACACAGTTGTACAATGCAGCTGTGTGTGTGCTGGCCGTGTCTGTGTAGGAACCAGAAACAAGTACACAGTTGTACAATGCAGCTGTGTGTGTGCTGGCCGCGGTCTGTGTAGGAACCAGAAACAAGTACACAGTTGTACAACGCAGCTGTGTGTGCTGTCCGCTGTTCTGTGTGGGAACCAGGAAACAAGTACACAGGTTGTACAATGCAGCTGTGTGTGGTGCTGTCTGTGTCTGTGTAGGAACCAGAAACAAGTACACAGTTGTACAATGCAGCTGTGTGTGTGCTGCTGTCGTGTCTGTGTAGGAACCAGAAACAAGTACACAGTTGTACAATGCAGCTGTGTGTGTGCTGTCCCGTGTCTGTGTAGGAACCAGAAACAAGTACACAATTGTTATTACAATCACGCTGTGTGTGTGCTGTGTCTGTGTGCTGAAACAAAGTACACTTTGGTTGTAACAATGCAGCAAGTGTGGCTATCAATGCTGTCCGTGTCATAGGAAACCAGAAACAAGTACACAGTTGTACAATGCAGCTGTGTGTGTGCTGGTCGTGTCTGTGTAGGAACCAGAAACAAGTACACGGTTGTACAATGCAGCTGTGTGTGTGCTGTCCGTGTCTGTGCAGGGAGCCCAGAAACAAGTACACAGTTGTACAATGCGGCTGTTAATGCAGCTGTGATATGTGTGTGGTCACAGTGTGCAGCGTGTAGGAACCAGAAACAAGTACACAGTTGTAATAAATACGCTGCTGTGTGTGCTGGCTGTGTCTGTGTAGGAACCAGAAACAAAGTACATTGTTGGCCAATAACAGCTGTGTGTGCTGTGCTGTCGTGTCTGTGTAGGAACCAGAAACAAGTACACAGTTGTACAATGCAGCTGTGTGTGTGCTGGTCGTGTCTGTGTGGGACCAGAAACAAGTACACAGTTGTACAATGCAGCTGTGTGTGTGCTGGCCGTGTCTGTGTAGGAACCAGAAACAAGTACACAGTTGTAATAATGCACGGCTGTGTGTGTGCTGTCCGCGTGTCTGTGTAGGAACCAGAAACAAGTACACAGTTGTACAATGCAGCTGTGTGTGTGCTGTCGTGTCTGTGTAGGAACCAGAAACAAGTACACAGTTGTACAGTAAACGCAGCTGTGTGTGTGCTGGCTGTCCGTCTGTGTGGGAACCAGAAACAAGTGTACAACACAGTTGTACCAACGTGCGCAGCTGTGTAAGCTGGCCGTGTCTGTGTGGGAACCAGAAACAAGTACACAGTTGTACAATGCAGCTGTGTGTGTGCTGTCGTGTCTGTGTAGGAACCAGAAACAAGTACACAGTTGTACAATGCAGCTGTGTGTGTGCTGGCCGTGTCTCGTGTAGGAACCAGAAACAAGTACACAGTTGTACAATGCAGCTGTGTGTGTGCTGTCGTGTGTCTGTGTAGGAACCAGAAACAAGTACACAGTTGTACAATGCAGCTGTGTGTGTGCTGTCAGCGTGTCTGTGTAGGAACCAGAAACAAGTACACAGTTGTACAATGCAGCTGTGTGTGTGCTGGCTGTGTGTGTCTGTGTAGGGAACCAGAAACAAGTACACAGTTGTACAATGCAGCTGTGTGTGTGCTGTCCGTGTCTGTGTAGGAACCAGAAACAAGTACACAGTTGTACAATGCAGCTGTGTGTGTGCTGGCTGCAGTGTCTGTGTAGGAGCCAGAAACAAGTACACAGTTGTACAATGCAGCTGTGTGTTATTGTGCTGGCTGTGTCTGTGTAGGAACCTGAAACAAGTACACAGTTGTACAATGCAGCTGTGTGTGTGCTGTCCGTGTCTGTTAGGGGACCAGAAACAAGTACACACAGTTGTACAATGCAGCTGTGTGTGTGCTGGCCGTGTCTGTGTAGGAACCAGAAACAAGTACACAGTTGTACAATGCAGCTGTGTGTGTGCTGTCCGTGTCTGTGTGGGAACCAGAAACAAGTACACACAGTTGTACAATGCAGCGTAGTACATGTTATTGCTGTCGTGTCTGTGTAGGAACCAGAAACAAGTACACAGTTGTACAATGCAGCTGTGTGTATTGCTGTCTGTGTCTGTGTGGAACCAGAAACAAGTACACAGTTGTACAACAATGCAGCTGTGTGTTATTGCTGGCCGTGTCTGTGTAGGAACCAGAAACAAACACAGTCAATTGTGTACAATGCAGTTCTGTGTGGACGTGCAGGGAACAATGCAAGCGCTGTGTGCCAATGCGGCTGTGCTGTCCGTGTCTGTGTAGGAACCAGAAACAAGTACACAGTTGTACAATGCAGCTTCGGTGTGTGTGCTGTCCGTGTCTGTGTAGGAACCAGAAACAAGTACACAGTTGTACAATGGCAGCTGCTGTGTGTGCTGTATCCGTGTCTGTGTGGAACCAGAAACAAGTACACAGTTGTACAATGCAGCTGTGTGTGTGGCGGTTCGGTGTCTGTGTAGGAACCAGAAACAAGTACACAGTTGTACAATGCAGCTGTGTGTGTGCTGGCCGTGGCGTCTGTGTAGGAACCAGAAACAAGTGCCACACAGTTGTACAATGCAGCTGTGTGTGTGCTGTCCGCTGGTCTGTGTAGGAACCAGAAACAAGTACACAGTTGTACAAATGCAGCTGTGTGTGTGCTGGTCGTGTCTGTGTAGGAACCTGAAACAAGTACACAGTTGTACAATGCAGCTGTGTGTATTGAAACAAATTTTACATGTGCTGTGCCTCTCCTGTCTGTGTAGGAACCAGAAACAAGTACAGTTGTACGAAATGCAGCTGTGTGTGTGCTGTCCGATGTCTGTGTAGGAACCAGAAACAAGTACACAGTTGTACAATGCAGCTGTGTGTGTGCTGTCCGTGTCTGTGTAGGAACCAGAAACAAGTACACAGTTGTACAATGCAGCTGTGTGTGTGCTGGCCGTGTCTGTGTAGGAACCAGAAACAAGTACACAGTTGTACAATGCAGCTGTGTGTGTGCTGTCCGTGTCTGTGTGGGAACCAGAAACA